AAGTCGGACGCTCAACCGACTGAGCCACCCAGGCACCCCGAAAATTTTTTTTTTATTATTTTTTGGTTTGTCAGGTGATTATCTTTTTTTTCTTTTGTAAGTTTTCATTTAAATTCAACATAAAGTTAATATAAAGTGTAATATTAGTTTCAGTAGAATTTTGTGACATACCTAATTTTTTTTAAGTTTGTTTATTTTGAGAGAGAGAATGCAGGGTGGAGGCAGAGAGAGAGAGAGAGAGAGAGAGAGAACAGGGTAGAGGCAGAGGTGGTCGGGGCAGGGGGGAATCCCAAGGAGGCTCTGAGCTGTCAGTGTAGAGCCTGACTCAGGACTTGATCCCATGAACCTCGGGAGTAGATCCATGGCCTGAGCCTAAATCAAGAGCCGGAGGCTTAACGGATTGAGCCACCCAGGCACCTCTGACATATTTGCTTTTAAATATAGGGTTTATCTGCAAGGATAAATAAGAAACTAGCTGCATTGGCTCTCACAAAAATGGCAGACAGATGGGGATGGTAAGGGAGGGAAAATTATTTATCTTTAAAAGTTACAAAAAATATATCAAAACAATGCATTTACTTGTTTAAAAGTGCTTCAACAGAAAGACTTCTAGGAAAAGGCTACAGCTCCTTGTCACACCCTTCCCACCCCCCTCCGTCTCATCTTTCTAAGGGCAATCTTTTTGTGTTTTTAGGCCAAAGTTAAGGCATAAAGGATATGGGGAAAGCTCATTTTAAACATCTAGGATTCTGCACTTAAATCACTTTGGAAGTATCTTTGAGTTTCTGCATCCTTTTAACAGTTACTAATGCACCAGTTTAATAGTTGCCTAGTTCAAAATTCTAAAGGTACAAAACAATTTATAGCGAAGTTTTCCCCAACCAATTCTTGTCTGTCATTCTACAGATACTCTTTTATACTGCTTCCATTTTTTAATTTTTCTCTTGGTTTCCCCCAAGTATCTATACACGGTGCTTATAAACATTGTTACTGCTACATACGTCAACTTTCGTCTTTATCTACTGACCTCCTGCTAGGACTGTGAAGATAGAGACTTACTCTTCAGATTCTTTTGAACTGTATGAATTTTTAAAGCCATAGAGCGGTGTTTTCTGAAGAATTAAAAATGAAAGTCTTTTAAAAAGGAACTTTTACGTAAACATCAAACAAACCAGTTAACAAAACTTAACTCCAAGAGACTGGAGAACTGATATTTGGATGGAACAGAGCTTTCCTCTTAATTTAGAGAAATTCACAGCCTGAAGTGAAGACACCACACGTCTGGCGTGGGAACCCACCCCTCCCACTCCGGGAACTGCCGTCCACGCCCTTTTAAAAGGACAGCGCCCTCCCAGGGCCTCGCCCCCTGAAGGCTAAAGAAGTAAACGAAGGCTCTTACCGCAGCCTCCCCTTAAAGGGGAAATCCATTTCTGTCGTCTAAAAAGGGAGCTTCCAGCTGCTCCTTGCCTTAAGGTAAAACCCGGCCCCCCTCTAGTTAAAAGGGTAAAGGTCCCCGCCGGGCCCCACCTCACCTGCGCGGTCACTTTATATTCGGTGTAGCCTTTGGGGTGGGTCCGGGGATCGGAGACGGTGTAGTGCCGCAGAAAGTCGTCCTTCGCCTGGCGGGACATGGCAGCCGAGCTGGAGCGGAGCTGACCGCCGGCCTCTGCCTCCTCCACGCCGCCCCCGCCCCTCCGGGTCAGTCTCTGCCAGCCACCGCCTCAGCCGGGCTTGCGCCCTCCTTCCTTGGGCCTAGGGAGCAGTCGCAAGTGACGGCGCAGTTCTCGGCCCAGGCGGGCGGCCAGGGAGCGTCTAAAAAGTTCACGGTTGTTGGTAAAGCGTGAACTGGGGGATTGAAGCTGGGGAGGTTGGATCGTTCAGCTGTGACCCGAGGTCAAACCCGCCCCATCAAGCATCGCCAGCTTCTCCTCTGCTTCCCAATTCCCTGCTTTCATCTATCCATCCAACTTTCACTGTGTCCAAAGTGTGCCAGTTGTAGCCAAATCATTTCCCTGTCTCCCTCCATAGGATTCGATAATTCATGTTTTCAGGAAAGGTAGGGGAAGCAAAAGAGAATTCCAGAGAGGCAGGATGGCTTCACAAGTTCTGAAGTCACACTTTTTTTCTTCTTTTTTCTTTTTTTTTTTGATAGCATTTTCTTTAATCAATTAATTTGTTTATAGTTTAATTTACATCCAAGTTAGCACGTGGTGCAATAATGATTTCAGGAGTAGATTCCTTAATGCCCCTGACCTATTTAGACCACCCCTCCTCCCGCAACCCCTATCTGGCAATCCTCTGTTTGTTCTCCATATTTAAGAGTCTCTTACGTTTTGTCCCGCTCCCTGTTTTTATATTATTTTTCCTTCCCTTCCCTTTTGTTCATCTGTTTAGTATCTTAAATTCATCATGTGAGCGAAGTCATACGATATCTGTCTTTCTCTGACTAATTTCACTTAGCATAATACCCTCCAGTTCCATCCACATAGTTGCAAATGACTTTTTTTTTTTTTTAATGTTTATTTATTTTTGAGAGAAAGAGAGAGTGTGAGCAGGGGAGGGGCAGAAAGAGAGGGAGACCCAGAATGTAAAGCATGCTGCAGGCTCCGAGCTGTCAGCACAGAGCCTGTTGGGGCTCTTGAGCTCAAGAATGACTGAGCCACCCAGGCACCCCTGAGGTCACACTTCTTACCAGCTGTATGGGTTTCCTTTAATTACTGGAGCCTAAATCTCTCATCTCTAGGTTTATAATAGAGGGTGTTTTATAATAGAATCTCCTGCAGTGGATATTTCTTTTTTTCTCTTCTTGGCCTGTCCAGCATTCACCCCCTTCTCTCCGTTAGCACTGTATCTTTGTTTGAAGATAGTTCTCTATATGTGTAGCCCTTCAGCCTCCTACCCCAGAATCCAAAGGTGTTGGCTCCTTTCCTTGCCCCAGCTCCTGGGTCGGGGTGGGGGACTCTCTCCTGAAGCCTGAGTACCTTGAGTGAGGGACCAAGGGCACAATGTCTGGCAAGGGGACCAATTTGTTCCTGGTGTGCAGTGTTGGCCGCAGATTTAGCTGCCCAGCCCCTGGGCACTCCTGACGTCTGGCATCCTGAGACCTCCGTCGGGGAGACCATGAGTTCCGGGTATCCTTCCAAGAACCATCCAGTTGGCTGGGGGCAGTTGTGATCAGTATCTGGGGCAGGCCGATGAGAACCCTGACTGATAACCACCGCCGCCAGGGTGTGAAGCTTAAAAGCAGTAGTGTGAGTGAGGCCCTCAAGTGCTCATGGCCACTCCTGGTGCTGGAACTCAGATGTGTGGGCACCATACTGCCAGCCGCCAGACAGAGGTGAAGGAAACTCCCAAATAAGACTTGTGGAGGCTCAGGCAGAGGGTAGATAACCAGGAGGTGTTGGGGAGGGCGCTGAGATGGGATATCCCCTTGAACGGTACACACCTCTGCAGACCCATTTGCTTTGTTTATTTATAAGTGTTTATTTTTTTATTTTTGAGAGAGAGGAGAGAGAGAGAGCACAGGCGGGGGAGGAGCAGAGAGAGAGGGAGACACAGAATCCGAAGCAGGCTCCAGGCTCTAAGCTGGGCACAGAGCCTCTGCGAGAGGGTAGCGGCAGCCAGGGTCTACACATAGCCTTTATTTCATGTCCCATTAGATATAAACATCAAAGAGCCTCAAAGTATGAAAGGGAGCACAAAGGGTCTTAAACATTAACGAGACCCACATCTGGTGTTTATGTGCAAGCACGCAGGGAGCGCGTGCAGTTTCACGGACTGCCAGGCAATTACAGTGGGTCTGTTTCTTAACTGCCTTCTGGGGGAGCACGGGGCTCTGTACCTCGTGATGCTGTCGCGTTCAACAGCCTTGAGACCAGAACACTGCGGATGTTTCAGCTGTTGCCCCCTTCACCCTCCGGGGCTTACAATACATTTTCTAGAAATAACTCCACAAAGCCCCATTCCTATCTAGATCAGTTTCCCCCCCGCCCCCGGCCTTCAGACTCCAGCTCCACCACTTCCATCGGCGGGAGGAGCACCACCATTTCCATCAGCGGGAGGAGCAGAGGGAGGCAAGTTGCAGATCCCCGCTGCCAGCAGGGCTCCCCACGTTCCCACTGGGCTGAGTGCAGGATGCAGGCTTTCTGCCACAGCTCACACTCCCCATCTGCAAGCCTTGGTAATGAGAATGGCCTTGTTATTTTCTTCTTTTTCTCCACCCATGCATAATTCATGCTTTAACTCAAGGATGCTGCTTACTACTAAGGGCGCCCCGGGAGGACTTGAACGCTGTGATGACTCATCTGGATCAGTGGATGGCTGAATTCACATCCACTGGATCTGCTTGAGCTCTTACTGGTTCAAATAGTGATAATTATAGCTAACACTGTGCAGTGCTTGTGACACACAAGACACCCACCCATTTGGTCCTTGTCCCAAACTTAGCAGGTCGGTGCCATGGATCTCTCCCCCAGACGGGGACACTGTGGCACAGACAGGTTAGGCAACTTGCTCAGCATCATCCGGTGAGTGGCAGAGCTGGGGTTTGGCTCTGGAGCCTGGGTGTGCTCATGCACCATAGGGCTTGGGAGCGCGGGGACCACAGAGTGTCTCACACAGAGGACAGGGCAGGTCGTTTTAATCTTCTATACGGTAGGACAGGTTATGTTCTGAGTTTGTCTACCTAACGCCAATTTCCCCTCGTCCACCCTAACAGAGCCCGGATTTTGCACATTCCCTCTCCAGGAAGGAATCCTAGCACCAGTTTAGGAGCAAATCTCTGTGTCTTTCTCACCTTTAACGTCACTCCCTCTGGGGAGCCTGCCTGGACTCTTCCAAGTGGGATTCGTTGCCGCCCTGTCCTGTGCTCCTCTAATTCTTTGTCTGTCCCTGTGACACTGCCGCGGTTAACCCTCTGATTGAAATGACCCGTTCCTTTCTGTGCCCTGCTGCGCCCTGGGCTCCGGGTGGGGGTCTTAAAGCTGCTGGATCAACGCATGACTCTATCAGGAAGTGGGGCAGGGAACGGTTTATTCTCACAGCTGAGCAAAGGATGAGGCCCACAGCCTTGGTAGCAGCAGAGGCGGCCCCCTCCCAGCCCCAGCCCTCTCCTCCGCAGGCGGGCCGGGTCAGGAGCCAGGGTGACAGCCAGGGAAGCAGCCCTCCGGCCACGGGAGCCGGCCGCCGAGAAGCAGTGGGTAGTGTTAGCAGCAGCAGGTTACGGAGTGGGGCGGGGGGTGTTAGTCAGCCTGGCCGACTGCCATCCCCCCCGTGGATGGTGCCTGATGAGGGCCGGGGGAGGGGGCT